TCCCCCTGTCGTTCTCCAGCGGGGCTTCCCACTACTGTGCCATATTCAAGGCAGTCAGGTGAAATGAGCAATTCCCATTCAGGGACGTGAGCACTGCACAGACTCGCCCCCGTGAAATGGCTGCTCACTTTGGCAGATCAATGCACTCTCTCCCTCGTGCACTGCCACTGTGATACCCAGGAAGAAGGCGAAAGGGGGAGGATGGGAGTGGGTAGACAGGAAGGCAAGGAGGGAGAGACGAGCTGGTTTTTGCACGTGTGTTTGTTTGTGTATGCGTGTGCACTGTGCAGAGGGGCTCGGATGTTAGCAAGGCATTTAATAATATTTGCTGTGGCTGCGCTGAGCGAGTGCTGTTGGGGGAAATGGGAGTTATGCTTTGCATAAACTCTAAAGACATGTGATATTGCTATTGCTTCCATGGGAGGCAGAAAAAGAAAAAAAAATGTCTATCCAGGTCACACCGGATATGAGAAAAATTCTGCCAGTGAACTGGAAACATTGCTAATATGAATGATATTAATGGCAGTCATATGGAAAGGCTCAGTTGTGACAAAATTAACCCTGCAGTTATTTTTTTCTCTTATTACAGATAGTAGATAGAAAAGGTCTGAACAGCCATTCAGGGAGTTGTACACAGAATTCTGAGTAAATGCAATTTTCTATCCAGTATCTCACCTTTTCAAAGTGTTTGTGTTCTGATTGACCAGTTTGGACAGTTTGCTGCAAACTAAAAAAAGAACACCTTCAGCTGTGCTAGATTCGGCTCTTTGTTTGTTAAAGGTTATATATAGGATATTCAGCGCCACCAGCAGAATCTCAGCTGCTAAACAAACACTTGGTCGGTCACAGTGACCGCCTCCCATTTGTCTGCTCAGCAAGGTGTTTACTGTGCAGTCTGTGGGTATGAGGAACATTGTTGAAAGGAGACTTAAATCACACCACTGATTAAAGTTATCCTGTTTCCAGGAAACAAAAATGCTCCTCTTATCATATTCTGGGTGCCTGGAACTCTTTGTGAATACTGTTACTTCAAGTGTTGACTTTTCAAAGCGCAGTACGTACAGTTGGCATGTGTGGCACCTAGTTAGCATAGCTTGCCCTAAAGTGAGCGTCAACTGCAGTGCTTAAGGAGGTAACAGTGTGTTTGTGTTTTCGTGCCTGTCACCGTTTCCCTTCCAATAAAAGTGTGAGCGGGAAACGAGCGGATTTACAACAACAGTAAAGTTTTCTCAGAGGAAGGTTATGGTCTCAATGCCAGTTTCACATCTTCTTCAGTAGAACACAGTGTCAACTGTCAACATTACTGTCCCATTAGAGGGAAATGCTACAGCAAGACACATGTGACACCGCATCTGACAGCTACATCAGTCAGTAGATGTCTAGTTGGTCTGTTAACTCCAGTTCCCAACAGCTGGAGTTATGGCCTCACCAGACTTCCGACAGACAAAAGGTGACATCAGTCCAGTATATCACGACAAAGAACCGACTATCTATTTCCTAAATGAGCCCCATTGAAATATTGAAAGTATTTAATGGATTAATCATTTACTGCTCTCTGACCTCATTTCAAGACTCTGAATCATCTTTGGCTGCAGATTCCATGCACCATCCAATGCACTTTGCTGATTGGTTACATCATAGCTTTCTGCCAAGTGATTCACAGCTAAATCTGTTATTCAAAATCTCACCAATATGTTTACCATTTGCCTGATTACCTCCTGTTGAATGCCCCTCAGGCTCTCCACCTAATCATGCCACAGTTATTGCTGTGTCATGGTGTACAACTACTGTATGTCACTATTATAATAGTTTTTGCAGCTAAGTCAACTTTGTTACCAGTAAACAATATGAATGTTGTAAATACTCATAGAAAAAAATAAAAAGGAACAGGTAGCTGACTTAAACTATGACTTTATTTACAGTATTTTAAAAAGTTCCCAGAGAAACCTTATTTACTTAAATAGAAAACGTCACACCTTTACCAACAAGTAGGTTGTGTATTAAAATAACAATGACGGCAAAAATCCCGAATGGCTAATGTTAACATTGTATTTTCAAAAAAAAAAAAATGTTTTGGAAAAAAAAATGTAATAGTCAAGATGATTTAACTTTTATTGCGCCTGTTCAACGAGCTCCCTTACTATGGGGCTCTACGGCTACAAACCCTGCTCTTATTAAATATTTATTTATCCATTTTATGGCTTCTAAATACGTCGTATATCATCCCTGTACTGTTGTGTTGAACTCACTTCGACCGGTTTGTGCTCAGTGTGGCAGAGCTCATCAGCTGTCAAGACAGTAATCAACAATGTTTACTAGTAATAGCAACGGCTGCCACATCGCAGGTTGTGAAATGTCAAAGTGTCCATTTTCCTCAAGCTAGTCTCCAGCAGTGCTGACGGCTACGGCTGTAAACAATAAGAAAATAGAGGCGAGGCAGCAGCAAGAAGCTTTCTCCATTTCATGCATTACCGTCAGAGTGAGCTGGGGAAGTAGAGTGTCAAACCAAGAAAAATAGGGGTGCTTGAGGAGCAAAGACAGCAAAAAGAAAAAAAAAGGATTCCAAATGAAATCTATTTGACAGACACATAATGATAGCTCTTAAACAAACCTGAGAGAGTGAAAGAAGGAGAGCCTGAGAGAGAGGACAAAGGCACTGATGGACAGAGGGAGGACATTAGACAGAGAGACAGAGAGGGA